GGCTTTGTCATGAGTGATTGGGCTGCTCACCATGCTGGTGTGAGTGGTGCTTTGGCAGGATTGGATATGTCTATGCCAGGAGACGTCGACTACGACAGTGGTACGTCTTACTGGGGTACAAACTTGACCGTTAGCGTGCTCAACGGAACGGTGCCCCAATGGCGTGTTGATGACATGGCTGTCCGCATCATGGCCGCCTACTACAAGGTCGGCCGTGACCGTCTGTGGACTCCTCCCAACTTCAGCTCATGGACCAGAGATGAATACGGCTACAAGTACTACTATGTGTCGGAGGGACCGTACGAGAAGGTCAACCACTACGTGAACGTGCAACGCAACCACAGCGAACTGATCCGCCGCATTGGAGCGGACAGCACGGTGCTCCTCAAGAACGACGGCGCTCTGCCTTTGACTGGTAAGGAGCGCCTGGTCGCGCTTATCGGAGAAGATGCGGGCTCCAACCCTTATGGTGCCAACGGCTGCAGTGACCGTGGATGCGACAATGGAACATTGGCGATGGGCTGGGGAAGTGGTACTGCCAACTTCCCATACCTGGTGACCCCCGAGCAGGCCATCTCCAACGAGGTGCTTAAGAACAAGAATGGTGTATTCACCGCCACCGATAACTGGGCTATCGATCAGATCGAGGCGCTTGCTAAGACCGCCAGGTAAGAAGATCTCTAATTCTTTTGTTTCTTGTGCAATGGATGCTGACAACGTGCTAGTGTCTCTCTTGTCTTTGTCAACGCCGACTCTGGTGAGGGTTACATCAATGTGGACGGAAACCTGGGTGACCGCAGGAACCTGACCCTGTGGAGGAACGGCGATAATGTGATCAAGGCTGCTGCTAGCAACTGCAACAACACCATTGTTATCATTCACTCTGTCGGCCCAGTCTTGGTTAACGAATGGTACGACAACCCCAATGTTACCGCTATTCTCTGGGGTGGTCTGCCCGGTCAGGAGTCTGGCAACTCTCTTGCCGACGTCCTCTATGGCCGTGTCAACCCCGGTGCCAAGTCGCCCTTTACCTGGGGCAAGACTCGTGAGGCCTACCAAGATTACTTGGTCACCGAGCCCAACAACGGCAACGGAGCCCCTCAGGAAGACTTCGTCGAGGGCGTCTTCATTGACTACCGCGGATTCGACAAGCGCAACGAGACCCCGATCTACGAGTTCGGCTATGGTATGAGCTACACCACTTTCAACTACTCGAACCTTGAGGTGCAGGTTCTGAGCGCCCCCGCGTACGAGCCTGCTTCGGGTGAGACTGAGGCAGCGCCAACTTTTGGAGAGGTTGGAAATGCGTCGGATTACCTCTACCCCGACGGACTGCAGAAAATTACCAAGTTCATCTACCCCTGGCTCAACAGTACCGATCTCGAGGCATCTTCTGGGGATGCTAGCTACGGACAGGACTCCTCGGACTATCTTCCCGAGGGAGCCACCGATGGCTCTGCGCAACCGATCCTGCCTGCTGGTGGCGGTCCTGGCGGCAACCCTCGCCTGTACGACGAGCTCATCCGCGTGTCAGTGACCATCAAGAACACCGGCAAGGTTGCTGGTGATGAAGTTCCCCAACTGGTAAGTAACAGAAGAACCGAACGATGTTGAACAAAGCTAATCAGTCGCAGTATGTTTCCCTTGGCGGCCCCAACGAGCCCAAGATCGTGCTGCGTCAATTCGAGCGCATCACGCTGCAGCCGTCGGAGGAGACGAAGTGGAGCACGACTCTGACGCGCCGTGACCTTGCAAACTGGAATGTTGAGAAGCAGGACTGGGAGATTACGTCGTATCCCAAGATGGTGTTTGTCGGAAGCTCCTCGCGGAAGCTGCCGCTCCGGGCGTCTCTGCCTACTGTTCACTAAATAGCTCTTAAATGGCATACCATGATGGCCGTGGTATATGAATTAATGATTTATGCCAATAGCAGGACCACTGTAGATGTAGAACGAGTATTGCGTAGTAGCGTGTAGATGATGAAACAAGCGATGCCGACACATGGTAGGAAGAGTGGCGCTGGTTGGGGCGGAAACCAAGCGACGTCATCCGCTGCCGACTTCGCCAGTCTTTCTTCTTTTCCTCTTCAGCCTTCTTCCTCCGCTTCATTCAGCGACCATTGCCAATTGCCTCTACAACAACTAATTGCCATAAACCTCTACTCCTATCAGTATATACACAACGATAAAGACATAATTACACCAGCCTGAACAGACGAGCAACCATGCCCTCTCCCGACCCTCCAGCCCCAGCGATACGACCCTTCCAACCACCCATAACAGCGCTCCTCATCTACCCAGCGACCCTAATCGTGGGCTCACTCTTCTCCGTCCTCTCTCCCACCGCACAAGGCACACGCGACGACGGCTCCAGCACCCTCCACCCCCACGTTGAGCCCCTAGCCCCGTCCATCGCGTCAGACCTCAACCTCTCCTTTCCGCCGCCACGCCCCGTCAACTACTTCGCCCGCAAAGACAACATCTTCAATCTATACTTCGTCAAAGTCGGCTGGCTTTGGACCACCGCCGCTCTCGCTTTTATCCTGCTCTCCCAGCCCGCCTACACCCTCGCCGCTAGCCACCGCGCCCGACGCACTGGCCAGGCCGTCCTCCGCTACGCCCTCGCCACGACAGTGTGGTACCTCACGACGCAATGGTTCTTCGGCCCGCCGATTATTGATCGCAGCTTTGTGCTGACGGGCGGGAAGTGTGAGCGGGCGGTGCCGCTGGCGGAGAACGAGCCCGCCGCGGCGGATGTCAAGACGCTGCTGACGGCTGCGGCGTGTAAACATGCGGGTGGGGCGTGGAGGGGTGGTCATGATGTTAGTGGACATGTGTTTTTGTTGGTGTTGGCGACGTCGTTGGTTGTGTTTGAGTTGGTCGGGGGGAGTCAGGGATGGGGGAAGGGGGGTGTGAGTGTGAATGGAAATGGGGAGGCGGAGAAGGAGGTTAGTGAGGAGGTAGATGTTGTGAGGGTTTGGTCTGGCAGGTTTGCTTGGGCGGTTGCTGGGTTGGGGTGGTGGATGTTGTTGATGACGGGGATTTGGTTCCATACGTGGTTTGAGAAGGTATGTTGCTGTCTGATTGGGGGTGGAGTGATGAGGATGACGATGCTAATGGTTGCAGTTGACGGGGCTGTTGATTGCCCTCGGCACGGTTTATACGATCTACATCTTGCCTCGACGGGTCTTGCCGTGGAGGAATGTGGTAGGCTTGCCGGGTGTTTGAGTATACATGATATGATTATGGCATGATAGATGGTGTAGAGTATAGTACACGATGAATACATTTCTTACCTTAATACACATTAAGCACCGGCGGTACAACAGGCTCATTGTCGAAGAAGCCCCGACAGAAAGCTACCAATTAGCCCAATCATTATCTCTCAAGAGAACTGGAATAAACTCACCTCCCGGAATCAACGCCGCCGCATACATCACCTGCGTAATGGGCCTCAAATCCTCAATATCATCCTCCTCCTCGCCAGCCATATACGGGGCCCAAAAATCCACAATTTGGTCCGCATACACCTTCAAATCAACCGCAGTATCCTTCTCGGCCAGCTGCTCCGCAACACACTTAATACCCATCGCGGCGCCAAACTCCCTGAACGCCAACCGATACCGCGGATCACGCTGTAAATAGCGCTTAATCTCAAACAGATCATCTACAACATCGTCAGCCACCATCACCCACACCATGAATAGAATAAGAAAGAAAGAAAGAGAGAGAGAGAGAGAGAGAGAAAGACATACAAACCCTCTCAACCTCCCTCCCCAACAACTCCCCCGCCCACTCCTCCTCCTCCCCCTCGACAAGATGCGCCGTCCACAACCCCATCCCCAAATCCAACAAATCATCACTAACCCTCTGTCTCCCCTTCCGTCTCATCACCCTCCTATAATCCTCAATTTCCTCCTCCAACACCCCACCATCTCCTGCACCGCCATAGGCCAACTCATAAGCCCTAACCACCCTAAAAACCACAAACCCATCCACAGGGTCCAAATTCCCCTCACTCCCAACCAGCACCCTCCTCAACTCCGTATCCAACTTCCACACCATCCGATCCAACCTCCTCCCATCCACCCCTCTGATGAAGAAATGCGGATGTATCGCCCTGCCCAGCTCCACCGCCAGCTTATTCCACTTCCCCTCGCCGCTTGCAACACTCATCCGGTTCAGCGCGAACATCCACAGCGTCAGGTAATGGTGGTATTGGCCGTCGCAGTCGTGGCCTGTTGCTGAGGGCTTGCCGATGCGTAGGCCGCCGGCGAGCGGGTGGGATGGGGATGCGCCGGGGAGGGGTGTGTGCGGAGGGTCGCGCGTTCGGCCCAGGGTGTTGTGCACGGAGGTGATGAGTTGGGAGGCGAGCGTAAGGTAGTGGTTTTCGCTGGGGGGATTGGGGTGGATACGGTGTAGGGTCAGGAAGTTTAGGACGCCGATGGCGTCCGTCCAGAGGTACCGGCCGAGGTGGCCCCCGGAGGAGGGGGGTGGGGTCCAGGTGCTGGGGGAGGGGGTGGTGGTTATGGAGGGGCCGTAGAGGGTGGTTTGGGCGCGGAGGAAGAGGGTGAGGGTTTGGGGGGTGGGGGTTGGAGGGGGCATGTTGGTGGTTGTTGTATAGATGGGGTGGTGGTGAGGGTAGTATGGGTGGGTGTGGTGTAGGTAGGGTTGTGTGAATGGTAGTATGGTGGTATGGGAAAGGGGAGACTGCTAGGAGCTGTTAGGGTCAAATTAGATTTTGGAGTATATACTGAAACTAGCAAGAAATGAACTGATTTGTTCGGCAGAAGAGCTCAGTTATTGTATGCTTGATGTCTATATGCGGTGAAGTCATCATGAGCGGGAGGTGATCTCATCTAACCCTAACCACATCTATTATACTGCAGTCTCGTACATCCCAATACTCATCAACTACAACCATCATGGACTAACTACAGTATCATACATACCATACTGGTATAATCTATGTTCAAATTCCTATCCAAAAGAAAGAAGAACATGTCCCTCCAAAACCTCCTCACCACCGCCGCCCGTCCCCTCCCCCCCATCCATGACCCCAGCTTCGCCTCCCACTTTGACAGCTTCGCCAACTACCGCGTCGTCCTCCTTGGAGACGGTAGCCACGGCACCTCCGAATTCTATGCCGCCCGCGCCGAAATCACAAAGCGTCTCATCGAGCACCACGGCTTCACCACCGTCGCCGTCGAAGCCGACTGGCCTGACGCTGAAGCTATCGACCGCTATGTGCGCCAACGCCCAGGCCCCCAAGCCCACCTCACCAATGACAAGGACGAGCCCTTTCAGCGATTTCCAACTTGGATGTGGCGCAATCGCGAAATGCAAGACCTAGTCGAGTGGATGCGCGACCACAATGCCAATCTACCCGATCACCAGAAGGCCGGGTTCTACGGTCTTGATTTGTACAGCATGGGGACATCCATCCGCGCCGTCGTAGATTACCTCGACCGCCTGGACCCAGAGGCCGGCAAGCTGGCGCGTCGTCGCTATGGGTGCTTGCAGCCGTGGGTGGACGATCCGACGGCATATGGTCTCGCGTCGTTGCGCGGCTTGGCAGACTGCGAGAAGGGCGTCGTGGACATGTTGCGCGACCTGCTGCGAAAGCGACTGCAGTATGCGGAGGAGGACCCGCATAATGGCGAAGAGTCGCATAGTAGTCAGCAGAATGCGTACCTAGTGCGTGACGCGGAGAGATACTACAAGGCGATGTATTATAGCTCTGCGTCGTCATGGACGCTGCGCGATACACACATGGTGGATACGCTGCGGCGCATCCTTCGTCACAAGCCTCCCGGCAGTAAGGCTGTGGTGTGGGCGCATAATTCGCATTGTGGGGATGCGCGATACACGAGCATGGGCAGTCGGCGCAATGAGGTGAATATTGGACAGTTGTGTCGCGAGCAGTTCGGTCGGGATAAGGTTGCGCTGATCGGCTGTGGGACACATACCGGAACTGTGGCGGCTGCGCATGAGTGGGATGAGGATATGGAGATAATGAAGGTGAAGCCGTCGAGACCGGATAGTTGGGAGTGGTTGGCACATCAGACGGGAATTGACAGCTTCTTGTTGGATTTGAGGCCGACGAAGATGAGTCCGGAGCTGAGGAGCCTAATGGCTGCGGAGGATCAGCGCTTGGAACGGTTTATTGGCGTCATTTATCGGCCTGATACTGAGCGCATGTCGCATTACTCGCAGGCTGATCTGCAGAACCAGTTCGATGCGTATGTCTGGTTTGATAGCACTGAGGCTGTTAAGCCGTTGGAGAGGGTGCAGCCGCGGACGGCGATGGGTACGGAGGAGACGTATCCATTTGGATTGTAGAGCAGACTGAAGTAATGGTAGAATGGACTGTAAGGAGTAAAAGTAGATAGTGTTTCAAATTAATGATGATGGACGATATAGTTAATGTGATAACTAGCTCATGCACAGCACAATACGCTTAGCTAAGCCCTGACGTCAGCTCACCGCCTGCGGGTGTTTGTTTATTCTTGAATCTCGCCTTCGCCCTGCATTCATTTAATTCATGATCCATCCCCCCACACAATCCAATTCTTCGACATCTCGATACCCAATTCCAACGTCACCCGATACACATTGACCACCACCATGGCGGTTCGACGGTCCGCCCGCCTGCGCAGCCGCCAGGCCACCGAGGTGAGCACACCACCCATCCCACTCAGCCTCCATTCCGATGGGCTGCTCGCGCCCTTGCATGACATTCACTGACTCGACCTTAAGGAGCCTGAGGCCCCTGCCGACCCCGTCGTCACTAACAACAACGCCCCCTGCGACACGAACAATCACAACAACTCCGAGAACACGTCCGAAATCGACACAACCATGGCTCGTCTCGGCAAACAGCCGGAGAGATTGCCTCCCGTCGTGGAGCACGAGGAGCCAGCTGATGCTGCTAAGGATGCCCCCGTGCAGCGGTCGCGGAAGAGGACCAAGACTGAGACCGCGTCTAAGAGGAAGTCCAAGGTTGAAGTTAAAGAGCCTGTTGCTGAGGTGACTCCGGCGATCGCTGAGTCTCAGTCCAAGACGGATGCGACTGAACCAGTTGTTGCTGAGACTGAAAAGGAGCCTACTCCCAAGGTTATGGCTGAGCCCGCTGCTGCTGAGACTGAAAAGAGACCTATTACCAAGGCTATACCTGAACCTGCTTTGAAGCTATCGACTCCTAAAAAATCTATCCCCACTCTCAAGGGCACGCCTGTCAACAGAAATACGCCAGTCCAGAAGAACACACCCGTCCACAGAAGCACGCCCGTCCACAAAAGCACACCCACCAGAACTCCCTCCAGCACCCTCGTGCGTCCGTCCCACCAAGAAATGCACCCCAGCAAGGTCCGCCAGAGCACCACCAAACAGGCAGACTCCGGTCTGATCCTGGGCTTCAAGCCCATCAAGAAGGATGCCGAAGGCAAGGTGATCAAGGACACCCTCGCCGACAACACCCCTACCAAAGCCAAGGCCTCACCCGCTCCTTACTATGGCACACCCGCGTTCGAGTTCAAGTTTTCCTGCGACTCGCAGCTCAGTGACGAGGCGAAGAAGCTCATGGAGACCGTGCGCGAGGATGCTGCTAAGATCAAAGCCCAGATGACCCTGGAACCCGACCAGAACCGCGCCGAGGCAGCGGACCGGAAGATCGTGCAGCCCAAGGGCAAGGCCAGCCGCTTCAGCGATGTGCACATGGCCGAATTCAAGAAGATGGACTCCATTGCTGGTCACGCGTCGGCTTTCCGTGCCACCCCGGGACGCTTCCAGCCAGTGGTCAAGTCACTCAAGAGAACCAACTCCAAGGCGCGTTTGGACGATTCGGACCGCAACTCGCCATCACCATCCAAGATTGCACGTCCATCACCTGCCCTTGCTGCCCCTGCTAGCAACAAACGCGTCAAGCACGACAAGGCCGATGATGCATCGACGCGTCGTCCCGCTGCAGCCAGCCCTCCCAAGCCTGTGCAACCCCGACCCAGATCTACAGTGCGCAGCTCGTTGATGACCCCGACGCGGTCCTCTGCGGCGCGTGCTTCGTCCGTCACCGCAAAGCCGCCCCGCACCTCGATGATCCCGTCGCTCGTCCGGTCTCCAGCTGCGAAGCCGGCCGATGTGCCGCGCACGCCTCAGACAGAGTTCAACCCTCGGCTGAAGAGCAACTTGCCCACTTTGGGTAACCTGAAGTCGATCCTCCGCCGCCACCAGCCTTTGTTCTCTAAGGATCCTGCTAAGATTGCCGCGGGCACCCACGTGGCTGCTCCAGACTTTACCTCGAACCTGCTGTTCGGATCGCGAGGCACCACGGAGGAGCCTGCGCAGACGCCGTCGCCCAAGAAGCGCGTGGAGTTCACTCCTAGTGTGAAGGCCCGCCACGAGGAGGTTATGTTCTCGCCATCTCCATCGAAAGTTCCGGTTGCCAGTCCCTCGCGGACCATTTCCGATGTTGTCTATCCCACACTGCCGGTGTTGACTCCGGAGCAGAACAGGGTCAACGCCAAGTCTCCCGCCCAAGCGACAACCCCTACCATCCGCCATGTCCGCCCGTCAGATGTCCATGCCAACCCTCTGCCTGAGGTTGCAGGCGTGCCGCACGGAATCGGCCACAAGAAGAGGACCCGTGAGAGTGGTGAAGACACCAAGACTAATGATCTCCCTGAGGTCGCAGGTGTCCCTCATGGCATCGGCCAGAAGAAGAGAAACCGCGCTGCCCTCGAGGATGAGACCGACACTGAGAATGTGCCGCCTGTCGACACAACCGCGGACGCGCGCAGTGCTAAACGAATGAAAATGACCTCGCCCTCTCCGATCAAGGCGCCCATTTTGAGTGCCCGCAAGGCTGCGGCCCCTAGCCCAACCAAAGCCGCGACTCCCAGCCCCACCAAGACTCGCTCGCACACTCCCCTCCGGTCGGCGACGACCAGCCGCATGAGCACTCCACGCATCAGCACCCCGGCCAGTGTGCGCGCACGCAACCGGGGCGTGTTGAGCGTCAGCCGCTTGAACATGCTGGCGCAGCCGAAGAACCGTGGCTAAATCGAATGAGACTAACATTGATTGCATTTCTGAGCGTTGGACGCATGGTACTTACTGCGACATTTCTTGTGATGCTTCTTTTCTTTGGCGGCTGCCGTGTATTTAGTGGTCTGGCTTGGTGTCTCCGGGACTTTGATTCTAGTGAAATTGTAGGCGCTGGGATGCATCCGGTATGCAAGGCGTTCATGATTTGATTGATTGGTGAATACAGAGATTGAGACTGTATCATATTACTTGTTAATGAGTTATTCCCTCGAGTACACGAATGGAGTAGATGGTATCAGTAGTTCAGCAGCTTGTTTTAGCCTTAGGTCCTGTATTGTTATTCAAAAGGAAGGTTGTGATAACGCTGCGTGCGTTTGAGGCACTTGGGGAGCAATGCATAAGATACAGGCAGAGGCCATGCCAGTCCAAAGGCATCGCTGATACTGACACATTCCATGCCTATTGGGTGGGGTCACTATTCTAGGAAGGCAGCCAATCTGACTGTTGAATCAGGTGATCCAGTGGACTATACCTTCCTCTTCTCTTCCTCTCGTCTCCTCCATAATTCTCGGAGACTTGCACATCTTCACCTTCTTCAATATCTGCCACTTACGATGACCAGAAAGTCATCAAAATAGCATCAAGCACCTCTGGATATCTTTCAGCTCATCCACGATGCTTATGTTCGAGTCGATAATCTATTCAGCACTAGGCACGCAAGTGCCACATCACGCGATATGATTAGTTCGATCAACCACCCAGGCGCCTAAAAGGTGGGGGTTCATGCATTGAGGCAGATCCCTGTCTTTCAGCTCTGCCAACTCAGCAGAGGGGGATTCTTATTGAAATGGAGATAAACTCCACCCCAGCCTCCTCAACAACAGACTACAGGCTTTTCTGTCTGCCTCAACTTGTTGCCTTTTCACACGTGAGAGAGACTTTCCCTTCAGTACCAGTTCTTCTTTCTGCGTGGGATACCTCATCAATAGGGTCGTCATGGACGAGACTGGGGATGTGAGCCAGTCTGTTGTGAACGAAAAGACTGCAACGTGTTCCTTGTGCTCGTGTCTTGAATGTGTTCAGAATTTGGAGTCCGATGGGGGATATCTATCAAGGGATTTCAAATTCGATTCTTTGTTAAAGGCTCAGCAAATTTTCTTCCATGAGCAGTGCCCAAGTTGTGATGATATCCCCAATGATTTGCTCTGTAGGTTTTGCAAACATCTAAGGCCGCGGCACCTGAATCATTACATGACTCGAAAAGTAGCTCTTGTGTTGAACTTTGGGATGGTTCAGGACATACAGCAGCGGTCTGGCAATTGTGTATTTTGCAGCATTGTTATCCAAGAAGGGTGCTTGAAGGGTTGCAACGAGTATTCGAATTTGATTATGCGAATTGATTCTGCAACTCCATACAAGGATATGCACTTGGAGTTCAACTTCTACGAGCAAGGTTTGTACCATACTTAGTTATTGGTTCAAGCGTAAGCTAATCACATTTGTAAGGTACTCTAGGCGTTGATGCTAAATGCATTGGTGGGATTCTTGACGCTACCAAACGGACAGTATGGCAGCAACCGATGGTAGACTGGAGCACAGTCCGCATCTGGCTAGAGACTTGCGACAGAGAGCATGGGGGCTTATGCGACAATGGAATTCTAAGCTCACCACCACGCGGATTTCGACTTATTGACACGGAAAGAGGATGCGTAGTAATGGCTCCTCCTTCCTGCAGATATGCTACCCTGAGCTACGTGTGGGGTAGCACTACTGATAAAAATGCATTGGCAACAAAAAGAACCATCAAGATGCTGAAGGAGGAGGGTTACCTGTTCAAAACCCCTATACCGGCGACCATTAGGGATAGCATCCGTGCATGCATTGAATTGAAGATACGGTACCTCTGGATCGACAGACTGTGCATTGTGCAAGATGACACTACCACCGTGAAAGCCTCACAGATCAATGCCATGGGCGACATATATAGCCATTCTTATCTCACCTTAGTGGATTTAGAAGGCGTCACCATGGATCACGGTCTTCCCGGGGTTTCGCAAGCAAGAGCAAGCCATACTATTCATAAGGCATGCGGAATGAGCTTGAGAGCCATAGAAGATAGGTTCCCTGTGCTTCTCAAACAAACAAAATGGATATCCCGAGGCTGGACGTTCCAGGAGGCAATGCTATCGACAAGGATGCTGTTCTTTACAGATGCAGGTGTATTGTTCGAGTGCTCCCAAGCTTCTCAGGAAGATAGATTTGGACTGACGACGTCAATGCACTTACATTTCACACCAGTCACAACATACCGTGATCTTCTGTTCGAACTTTCATCTAGATCCTTTACTATCAATTCTGATATCCTTAGGGCATTTTCTGGCATTATGCATTGGAGATATGGGACAGAGCATTACTTTGGCCTACCGTACTGTGAATTTGTGAGGGGTATGCTCTGGCGTCCACATGGACTACATGATCGCCAAGTACCTGTGGCCAGGCTCACAAAAGCAGGGGATATCTTTCCGACCTGGTCGTGGTCTTCTGTAATGGGGCGCGTTGACTTGGATTCAGACGAAAGCACCCATACATCATTACTGGGTGTGTGGGGCATCCCATCTTTCAGGGCTAACGAAACGGTGCACATCATTCGGCCTCATAATCAACAACTGTCACGGGACGAGATAGACGGCTGGGTTCGAGAGTTTGGTATCGCATTGGCGTGGAAGAGGGGTTGTTTTCCAAAGCCATTACCGCCAATGCTAAATGTCAGCACCACCTGGAAAGAGTATCGAGCCCTTCTCAGATCCGGATGGGCATCATTTGATAAGCTTAACGAGGAGGCGCTTGGGTTAGCATATTTGCAGGGGGAGGAGGATATCAAAAAGATATTTTCCTCGTCTTACACGAAACATGCCAATCAGCCAGGGGCATTGCTGGCACATACCCAGTCACTTGAAGCTCGAATGATCCGGTTGGGACACAGAAAACCCGAAACATTTCATTTAACACCGTATGTACACGTAACATTGCACGGCAAGCGAGATGACATGGTAGACATGTGGATATATTTTCACCCTGACCTTTGGCTATTTCTGCACCATGATTACAGCAAGAAACATGATACCAAATTGAATGTGCTTGCTCTTTCAATGAGTCATGTGTACGACTTCCAATTCGGATATCGACTTCGAGGCAAACAGGGTCGATGGTATGATTCCGAGGGAAGCGTACTCTCCGCCCATGGCGCAGATTCTATTTTTCTGGTCGATGTATTGATCGTAGAAACTCGAGATGGACTCAGTCGACGAGTGACTACAGGTTTTGTCGAGCTTCATGACTGGATTTCTGCGTCGCCTGAATTTCGGAACTTCACTCTTGTTTAGAAGTCTGGAGAGGACTTTCATCGGGAGATGAGTACGCACTGAGCTGCTGTTTGAGCCCATATAATGGAATAGATTTCTGGGTTTTATAAATCATATTGATTGCCAATCTTCTTTGCGAGCAGGATGGCAGTTGATGAATTGACGATCAAGGATGGTATCTATTACCTTCACCCCTACAATTCCCATGCCGTTACCAAGGCACTATGCCCTATAACCGTGGAGTTACTCACCTGAGTAAGTGTACAAGAAGCCTATATTTATCACCTAAGCCTAAACAAGAAAAGTCATCTCTCTTCTCTGTGTACATTCAACAGCTGACTCATAACGAGCGGGAAATGAGCCCATCAGTTCAAGTTATACTGCGCTTAGTGAACAATCAGTCTTCATTCAACAATCAAAAGGACACAGACAAGAGAATTCGAAGCATGTATGCAAAATGAGAGTATCTCAATTCTACCATTTCACAGCTCTTCAAGCGCACATGCATCCCGAGTGCACAATAGTCATAACATCATATGTAGCTATCAGCCATCGGGTAAAGCAGATTACATTGCATTGAAAACTTGACTAAATGAGTATAACTAATTCTACCTATTATGTATACACCACAATATACCACTACTATTCACCTCAAACCTAGCCCGCTTTCACAATACTATCTTCGATAGACAATACTATCTACACCGTAATAGCGCACATATAGGATACTAAACACCATTCAAATTGGCCCCTTCTGCTCTTTAACATCAATCATGAATTTTTACACATGAGAATGAATGATACTCAACCCAACCACACCCCCATTATCCCTACAAGTGTACCCTAATGCCCACTTCCACATAACCATAACCAAACCTACCACACCATCCATACCTACCAGCCCACTACCTGTGTAGGAATAACCAAGCACCAACAACCAACCCACCATCCCACACAAACAAAGAAACCAAAGCTTAAAACAAAACCCAAACCCAAAACCCCAAAACCACCGACGTAAGAACCTACTCCCAACATCCATCCACCTCATCTCCACATTAATGACCACCAACCGTTCACACATAAAAGTCGGTGAACACCCTCACAACCCAACCCAAACCAACTCAACCCCCAAACCCAAAGAGGTAAAGTAAAGTGTACCATAAGCACAAGAAAACAAGAACGGGAACCAAGTGGACACACACACTCACACACTTTCTCTCTCTCTCTCTCCCCCTCTGAATCAATGAATATCATTCATGGAGAAATGAGGGGTAATTACTAACCCTAACCTAGCCATTTACCAACTACTTACTCCGTACACTAATACTTTACTCCGTGTTGGGCCAGTGAGATTGGTATCAACCATTTTGATTATTTATCTGATTGGTGGGGAAGAAATGACTCACTCACCATACTACTTACTTTTTCTCGACTGTGGGATTTGGGATTTCGTGCCGGTTGCCGGTTACCGGTTGTCGCGTTACTTTCCCTAATTAACAGAGCTCATTTTATGGGCTATTTTACCGAAGCTGAGGTTATTTGTTAATATTTCATTTAGGTATTTTTTTTTGCTATATCAATATATACTCAATTCAAATATGTGAAAAAGACAACGCCGTCCCATGGATCGATTCCCACCCACGGCAAATATTAGTAAAACTAGTAAAAGATAATCAAAAGTGGGTATCGTAACGGGTATCTCCGCTAAGGCAACCAAACCACAACCAAACCAAACCACAACAACAACTACTACTAACTATTGCACACACACAATGTTAGTAGTCAGAAGGGTTGTCAGTACTGTACAAAAAAAAAGCAATCATCAATCATCAAACCATAATCATCATCATCAATATCATCATCGTCATAGCAGCTTAGAAACTACTCCTACTATCCTGCCTTCCGAACGGCTTGGTAAAGTCCAACGGACTTAATTCCCGCTCCGTGGCGGAGTTATTTGTCTGCGTCTCCCCACTCCACGATTGCGAGCCATTTGAGTGTCCCGTGGGCGGAAGATCCAGACTATGGCCATGATCTCGGTCTAAACTTCGATCTCGACCAATCCCACTTTTCAGGATATTGTCCGTCCCCGCACCACCGCTCTCGGAGTGCTCGAACATGGCGATGGAGAGTTCCTCCGAGTCCATGCGGGGCGGGGGCCGTCGACGGGGTGCGGCGCCGGCCGCGGCGTGGTTGAGATCTGAGGGGACGCGCGTGGCATCGACGAAGTCGGGCAAGTCATTGTTATTGTTGAAATTGCCGTGAACAATGTCGCCGTTGCGGCACGGGATCTGCGGCGGGATAGTGACAGGCGAGGCGGCAGCATACAGCGGTGAATCCGGCTTCCAGGTCAGGTTGTGAGCGCTGCGGACAAGAAGGACGAGTTTACCGAGGACGGCGAATTCGAGTTTGAGTTTGACGCTGTAGATGACGGGTTTGATCATGGTTTCGAGGATGTAGAGGTCGCGGTATTCGATGACGAGAAGTCCCAAATCCAGAGCGATGATGATCAGGTTGATGGCGACGAGCTGGTACATGATTTTGCGTTTGCCGCGGTCGGGATCGAGGCGGAGCATGCGGATGGTTTCCCAGATGTAGAGGACGGAGAGGATGAATTCTTGCAGACAAAAGCCGGTCATTTGAATTTTTTCCATGATGTTGTAGCCGGAGATGAAGATGGCTGGGTGGGAGGAGAGGTTCGAGCAGTAGGTGAGCACGGAGGTGGGGATGTGTAGGAGGAAGGCGTCCACGATGATCATGGTGAGGACGCGGCGGAGGACTTTGGGGTTGGGGAGGACGAGATGCAGGCGCGAGTAGAGCACCACGGATTGGCCGGTCACCATGGCGTACCAGCCGATGGTGATGAGGGTGATGGAGAGGGCGGTAGCGGACGTGAGAGCGAAGTATTTGAGCAGAAAGCCGGCCGAGTAGGGAATCAGACCGAGAGCGGAGATCAGAAGAGACCAGAAGTAGGGACCGCGAAACTGGGAAAAGGTCACAAAGACGAGAATGACCAGTTCGATGGCGTTATACCAGGATAGAGCGGCCATGGTAGCGATGACGATGCGCAGGGCCAGGCTGTTGCCTGAGTAGGGCCCAACCACGCCATTGCCGGGGGAGGCGGTAGGGCCGGTGATCATGATGCCATTGCAGAGAGACGATATACGATGGGAAGGAAGAAAAGGGAAGTAGAGAAGAGAGGAAGAGGAAGCAGAAGTAAAGAAAGAGGAAGAAGAGGAGAGAGGAAGCGAGACTAAGCGAGTAAGGCTAGACAAGAGAGCGACTAACAAGAGCAAGAGGCAGACAGAGACAGACAGAAGCAGAGGCCGATGCAGGATCCGGGGCAGGCGGGCAATTACCCGACATGTAATGAATCAAGAATCATGACAGGTCGTCGGGCTCAGATCCTTGCCGTCTGGGGACATTGAAAGGCAGTCAGTGCCCGGCTGACGGGCGGGGGCCGGCGTGACGCGGTGCATTGTTATTTGCAGTTGCCCTTCGCCTGGTTTATTGGGCGGGGAGTGTGTCCTCTCTGTTGTCATTATTATTGTTCAGCTGAGCATTTAACCTGTTAGTTTGGTTAATGTTGTGTTAAACTCTGAGATACTCCGTCCTGAGGTGGATACTAGATAGGGTTATGTTGGCATACCTGCTATGCTATACTCCCCTTCCATATGAAATCATATAGGAGAAGAATAAAGGAGAAAAAAACAGTCCTTGCATCCCCACGTGCTTTATTCCCCCCATTATTTTTTTTTTAATCATTCATCATGTTATTTTTATCCCTCAACTCCTTGTCTGAAGAGATAATAATAACTCCAGGGGGCAGTAGCAGCAGCAGCAGCAACAGCCACTGCCACACACAAGGCTGAACTCATTACTTGCTTGCTGACTTGAGTTTCAGTCTAGTCGGCATTGGACTCCGATCATCACATTCCTTCCATCATCCATCATCACAAATCACTCATATTAATAAATTAAACCCAAAAATAAAGCATGCAAAAAATAACTCCACCCCCAAACTCCATCCCAATATAATTCTATCCCTCTATTCCATCATCATCACCATCATCATAAGCAACTAACCATCACCCCCTGCCATCCCCATTATTATTCCCATCACCACCAAATGAAGCAACCACTCTATCCACCTCCCCCCTAACCTCCGGCATCGCCCCTCTCATCTCCCTCGCCAACACATCCCGAAAACTCCCAAACGCCTCCTTCTTCCCCTTCAGATCTTGATTCCCACGCTGGATCAACTCGACAAATTCTCTCGTGTAGATATCCGGATTCCTTGCTGCATCTACGTAATCAATGATCTCCGGGGGAAGTTGGATGCTGTGGATGGGAGGGTCGTTGCTGTTTCCGGGTGATTGGGATTGTGCGTCGGGGTGATTATCGGAGGTGTGTGTGCTGAGTGTGGAGAGCGCGAGAGTGAGGTTTTTTCTAATACATAACACGTAATCCGGTTAGTAGACTTATATAAACATCAGGCGAGGAAGATGGCAGGGATAGCAAGGAAGGGTACATTTTGCGAACGAGCTCTTGTTGGGTTTCGGGACCGAGGTAGCCATGGACAGCGGATTGGATTTCGAACAGGTGTTGGATTACGTCTTTCAGGTCGGCTGAGGCAGATTTTAGCTTTAGTTGGATTATGAAAACAGGATATACGTACTGTCGACCGTGCTGAGGGGAATGGGAGCCATGATGTGCTGCTCTGAAACGTGAAGCTTGGAGCTGAAGGGGATTCTTGTTGGATGATGACGAGAGCAGAGAAGAGTCGAGTCCGGGGTAGACTAACCGTTTTGGGTAATACGATGGATGCTTACATTCAGTTCCAACTACGGATCCGCCGCTTTATGAATATGACATACACTCGTTGCTACAACCCACTCTGCTTTGGATGGTCGTGTCCCTGACTCTGAGAAATGAAGATGTTACGAGCGATAACTGAGTCTAAGCCGATTAGGCTGATTCTGTACGTCTTGCGAGAACATGTAGAACCCCACGCAGCATTT